TGTATTCTATGTACTCTTTTTTATATGAGGTAAATATATTTTGAACGAAGCGAAGCCTGACATCTGTCGGTAACAACTGAACTCACAAGAAATAGCCAAGTATATAAACAATATACCCGCTTTCTGGATAATAAAAAGGACCTAGAAAACCAGTGCTAAAAACGATATAACCTCCTTCTGGGTGATAAAAAGGGCTCAGAATGTCACTCCTTCTGGATGATAAAAAGGGATCAGAATGTCAGTGTTAAAAACGATATACCCGCTTTCTGGATGGTAAAAAGGGCACAGAAAGTCAGTGCTAAAAAAAATATACCATCTTGCTGGATGATAAAAAGGGCTCAGAAAGTCACTGATAAAAACGATATACCCGCATTCTGGATGATAAAATAGTTTCAGAAAGTCAATGATAAAATATATATCCATTTTCTGGGTAATAAAACGGGTTCAGAAAGTGGGTTTTATAAATGGTTCTGTTCAGAATCTAGATAATTTTTATTTACTGAACAGAGGTCAGGTTGTGAGACAAGGTCGGTTTAATGTGGGGAACCCGAGCGCGTACACCCGGGCTAGGAACACAAATTGCCGTAGTCACCGAAACCGTCGGTTGCGCTGGCCTCGGTGCAAGCACCGATTCCTCTCTCTAGTGCAGTGAGAGGGCGCGGCCTCGGGCAGCTTTTCCCCAGGTCTGGGCACCTCTCAGTATAATTTTCCTCAGTTGTGAATCTATCCTTTGACGGAGCCGCCTCTGAGCGCCCTCTGCCCAAAGACAGAAACGCAACTTCAGAATCTCGATGATACCAGTGTAAATAATGCCCCGATGGGAGAGCGGTCGAAACATTTTGATAAAAAATTAAACTAAAACTTAAGCTGGGACTGAAAATTCTTTTAATTTTTTCAATTCTTTATTATATTGTATGTGGTTGATTCGGACTAATTTCACCATCTTATTTTTTATCTCTTTAAGGGTCCATAGATTATATTTTATGTCCCCAGGAGATAAAACATAATCTATGAACCCTTAAAGTTGTCTGTTTTTGAATTTAACTAATATTCGCTCTCTTTTTGCATTGAGCTCCCTGGATTACACCCTCCTTGGGATTATCCATACGGATTACCAAACATTTCATTATCTATCTATCTATCTATCTATCTAGGAGTATTCCCGAGCGAACTCCAAGGCCAAAGTGAACAGATCTTTAGAGATGGAGGCGATAATAGTCAATAATGTCGAACTGTATGAAAGTGCAATTGTCCTTATTTTGGATGCTAGTAAACCAGTTGATGACATCAGCTGTGTTAATCCACTATATATATATATATATATATATATATATATATATATATATATATATATATATATACTAGCAGTAGAGCCCGGCGTTGCCCGGGGATGTAACAGTAAGATCAAGTATCGACCATCATAAAGACTGAAAAATAAAATTGACAAAGATTATTGTCTAAGGTTGACGGACACGCATGTCTTAATTAGTTTTATTTTTTTATTTTTTTATTTTTATTTTTATTTTTTTACGAATTGGTCAAACCCAAACTCAAACAAAAACATTGTTTTCAATCGTTGTGAGTCTACCGATTGAATAGAATTTTATTATAAACAATTGTCTTGTAAATGGAATTTTTAAAGCATTCTGAATGTAAAAGTAAAGAAAAAAGTGTGCAAGACAATAAGAAACACTACCTGCCAAAAGAAAGTGAAGTTTTGTTGAAATCGGTTGAAAATGTAGGAAATCCGATCCCATATATAAACGAACACACACACACACACACACACACACACACACACACACACACACACACACACACACACACAACCAACCTGGGTTTTATAATAAGTATAACTCGATATGAGTTGTCCCCCTTTCATTAATGCCTCTTAATCGTGTTTTCAAATTGATTTCGTGCAAAAACAATTGTGTTTTTCCCACACACACACACACACAACCTGGGTTTTATAATAAGTAAGATATAAATATATATATGACAGTTGTGTAAAGCAACTTGACTTTCCGGCTATTCTTGGGTGTCAGTTGTGTTCTGGGATATTTTCGACTGTGTTTTTTTTTTTTTTTTGATGAAGCATGTACATCGTTTCTCGTCCACGTCACGTCTGGCGATTGCGTTTACGTTTTCTTGGGATTGTTGTCTTGTGACATTTGCGCAATACCTCCTCCAAGAAAGTTTAAACAAGAACTATCAGCTGCCATTCTGGCAGACAATAGTCGGTGCTAAAATATTCGTCAAACATTCCACGTGGAGAATCCGGTTGGGTATTATCCGTTTTGTCAGCTCAGAATTATTATTATTTTTTTTTTTTTTAAAAAAAAATGGTTGGTATTTATTGGCATAAGAAAAATGATAAATATTTCCCATTCTGTAAAACGTTATTGTCAACAAAGGAACGTGAACTAAAATGACAAACAAGACCATCGCGTTTTTAGAACGAGCTATAACTTTGCCACACAACTTTTTAATAACTAAAATGTGTGTGTACTTGTTGCCTGCGTGACATCTGCACATTCAAGACAAACACCACACAAATAATTGTTTGTTTTTTTAAATAAATCTATAAATAATGAAGCAAATAGTCAATTTGTCCGTATCCAACGCTGAGACGTAGAAGTTCTAAAAACACATGCGGTATTAAGCAAGAATTTATATTGGAGTGTACATGCCTGTGGTGGTGTGTATGTAAAACGCCTTTGACATAGCTAAAGAAAAAAAAGAAACAGGCGGACAGACACTCTATCAAATCTGGACATTAGCGGTGATAAGGTATCTTATTTAATTTGATTTATGATTACTGCTTAGTCTCACAGAATACAAGGCGTCCTCCTCTGCATACAGTTTTGTTTTTCTTTAATTCTAACCTGAGGAAGCCAAAGAGAGTAGAGTGTCTGGTGAAACGTATATTGGAATAAATTTTCCGCCTTAACTTATCATTTTGTTACGAATACTATTACACACACACACACACACACACACACGCATACATATTTGCACGATTGTCATATATATATATATATATATATATATATATATAAAATTAAAAAACAGACAACCATAAGGATCCATAGATTATATTTTATATCTCCAGGAAAAAAATATAATCTATGAACCCTTAAAGTTGTCTGTTTTTTTAAATTTAACTAATATTCGCTCTCTTTTTGCATTGAGCTCTCTGGATTATATCCTTCTTGGGATTATCCATACGGATTACCAAACATTTCATTACCTATCTCTCTCTCTCTCTCTCTCTTTTTATATATATATATATATATATATATATATATATATATATATATATGACAATTGTGTAAACCAACTTATTCGGAAGTTGGAAAAACTTAATATAATTTATTTTATTTATATAATAATTTTTATTATAGATCCTACAAGTGCATATTGGAGTGTATCAAAAGTATTTTCGTTTTTTTTTTCTTAACAATAAAATTTGAAGTGTGTGTGTGTGTGTGTGTGTGTGTGTGTGTGTGTGTGTGTGTGTGTGTTTTTATTCTAGTTCTTGTGAAATGTTGGTGGTCGCAAAATCTCTTCGATGTTGCGTTCCAAGTTATCATAATGGGCTACTGATGCCCAGCCATCTCTGCGGTCACCACCCTCAACCACTTGAATCATCAAAATTAGTCTTTTATTTTCTACCATTTTAAGAATTCTGCAAACGGCTTCAGCGGCTTTGTGTCCCAGTTTAAAAAGTTGCCTGACAATTGCTACAATTCTACTTGTATCCGTCAATATAACATCTTACACAAAATGTACGGATTAATAATGATGATAATAATAACAGCAGCAGTAGCAACATTTACAGCAATGAAACTGGTATTACCCAGACCCCACTACAGAGATAGGGCCTGTAATAATTCTATGGGACTTTACAATACACATAGACAGAACAATTGAATCTCATCGCCCAGACATGAAAGACCACAAGAACAGAATGTCCTTTCTTATTGACATGGCAGTGTCTGCAGATTGTTATGTAGCTTTGAAGATCACCAAAAACTATCAGAATACAAGAATCTGGAATCGGGAATCTCAAAAATCAGCCATATGAGGACATCATTAATTACAGTTGTAGTTGGAGCCCGCGAATTGATTGGAAAAGGGTCCGATAGACTCCATGAAGGGTTTTCTGATAGGCCATGCCTTAAAGAAATACAAAAGATTGTATTTACAAGTACACTTTATACATTACGAAGAGCTTTATCTATGCAAAATGTATGTGATCTTTTTTTTTTTTTTTTTTTACAAAAATGCTCACTGGAAAATATCGTAAAGCCATTGTAAATGATTTTAACTTGGAACTTTTACTTATAAACGATTTCAGTCTAAGAATGCATCAGACATAATTTTACTATAGGAATGCATTGGAAAAGATTTTACTATTTGGAATGCATTGGAAAAGTTTTTACTACAGGAATACATTGAAAATGATTTTATTATAGGAATGTATTGGGAATGATTTTACTACATAAATACATCAGAAATAACTTTACTGTAGGAATGCATTGGAAATGATTTACTTGAATAATGCTTTGATAATGATTTTAATATTGGAATGTATTGAGGGTGCGATTATTACAGAAATACACTGAAAATCATTTTACTATAAGCCTAGCAATGATTTGACTCCGTATCATGTCTTGTCTGAGCTTTAAAAGACTGAATTGGTGGAACTAAAGAATGGAGCTCATCTGAATATTTGCAATGAAAATAGCAACAAAATACCAATAGATCCGCATCTATGGAGAACGCGGTTGAGGGATAGAAAATACGTCTATCCCCCCCCCCCCGCTCAAGACTGCATAAACAATTCAGAACTTTACAAAGCCTGGAAAGTGAGGATTGTGCAGCTCCAGTTCAGAGTATTGCAGCTATTGTTTGGTCTAGTCTGGCTATTGTAAAGATAGAGTGTGCCAGAAGGAATCAGAAAGGTTCGCCCATTGTCACTTCCTCCTCTTTTTCAGTCGCTCCTTCTCCTCCACCACCTTATGTCTCTTATTTTCCTCTTCCTTCTCCTCCTGTCTCTCTGTTTCCTTCTCCTTCTCTCTCTCTCGCTTTTTCGCTCCTCGCCCTCCTTCTCTCGTCTCTCCGTTTCCCTCTGCCTCGCTTTTTCGCTTCTCCTCTTCCTCCCGTCTCTCTGTTTCCCTCTCCTTCTCTCCCTCGCTTTTTCGCTCCTCGCCCTCCTTCTTCCGTCTCTCCGTTTCCTTCTCCCTCGCTTTTTCGCTCCTCCCCCCCTTCTTCCGTCTCTCCGTTTCCCTCTCCCCTCCTTTTTCGTTTCTCCTCCTCCTCCCGTCTCTCCGTTTCCCTCTCCCTCGCTTTTTCGTTTCTCTTCTTCCTCCCGTCTCTCCGTTCCCCTCTCCTTCTCTCCCTCGCTTTTTCGTTCCTCGCCCTCCTTCTTCCGTCTCTCTGTTTCCCTCTCCCTCGCTTTTTCGTTTCTCCTCCTCCTCCTCCCGTCTCTCCGTTTCCCTCTCCCTCGCTTTTTCGTTTCTCTTCTTCCTCCCGTCTCTCCGTTCCCCTCTCCTTCTCTCCCTCGCTTTTCCGCTCCTCGCCCTCCTTCTCCCATCTCTCCGTTTCCCTCTCCCTCGATTTTTCCTTCTCCTCCTCCCTTCTCTCCGTTCCCCTCTCCTTCTCTCTCTCGCTTTTTCGCTCCTCGCCCTCCTTCTCCCGTCTCTCCGTTCCCCTCTCCTTCTCTCCCTCGCTTTTTCGTTCTTCGCCCTCCTTCTTCCGTCTCTCCGTTTCCCTCTCCCTCGCTTTTTCGTTTCTCCTCTTCCTCCCGTCTCTCCGTTCCCCTCTCCTTCACTCCCTCGCTTTTTCGCTTCTCGCCCTCCTTCTCCCATCTCTCCGTTTCCCTCTCCCTCGATTTTTCGCTTCTCCTCCTCCCTTCTCTCCGTTCCCCTCTCCTTCTCTCTCTCGCTTTTTCGCTCCTCGCCCTCCTTCTCCCGTCTTTCCGTTTCACTCTCCCTCCTTCTCCCGTCTCTCCGTTTCCCTCTCCCTCGCTTTTTTTTTGTTTCTCCTCTTCCTCCCGTCTCTCCCTTTCCCTCTCCCTCGCTTTTTCACTCCTCCTCCTCCACCATTTTTTTATCCTCTTCTTTCCCGCTTTTTCTCACCTCCTCCTCTCCTTCGTTTATCCGCCACATTTCCTCTCTTACTTCTCCTCTCCCACGTTTTTTGCCTCTCCTCTCCACCCGCTTTCGTCTTCTTTTTCTTTCCCAACCCTCACCACTTTTCTACTTCGCTTTTCCCTACCATCTTCCGCTCCCACACTCTTCGCAATTCCTTCCCTTGTTATGAAGGTATTTTCCTCGGGCTTGAAAGCAGAACCGATTCCAATCTAGAAGAGCTGTGGTCGAGCAGATACTACACTCTGATCTTAAATCGAAAATCATAGCGGCTATACATACAAACAAGCTGATGATTGTATAGTAAATTGAAATAAATGTTGTTTTTATTTTCGTCTGCTATTTACTCCATTGCGAATTCTGTCCAAATCAATTAGCCGATCTAAATTGTATAAAACAAGCAAAATAATAGGAGGCTCATTTAACTAGTGCAACACTGGGGGAGGGGAAAGGCAATCGTGTTATCTGCGACCTCGAGAGTCGAAAGCCTGCATTACCCGAATTAAATCAATTTCGGATCAAGAGGACAAGAGCAATAACCGATAAAAACAATGATCATTTCTTTTTGACACTCATCGTAATTTTCTCTCTTCTTCTTATCGGCGATTACGGCTCTCCACAATTTCCTATCCTTTTTAGCGCTTAGTAAACTTTGTCTTTTTACTGTCTTTCCTAATCCCTGTTCTGTCAACCATTTGTACAAGCACGTGCTTTTCCTTTTATGTGCCGTGCCCCTTTAGGACGTGGTCGATCATGGCTCTCCACTATTTCCTGTCCTTTGTGACTCTTATTAAACTTTCTCTTT